TGGTATCTGTGTGACGAGTCATCATGACTTGATTTCTAGTGGGAGGAACTGTCCTGCTCTCCCATGCCATGCAAAGCAGGCCTCATCTTAGGAACACTACAAGCAGCAGGAAGGGCCATGGGATGCCCCACAAGGTCCTGGTCAGGGAATGATGTGGTTGTGTTAGAGGGTTTTATTTTTTTAATGTCCCAACTCTACTACTTATTTTCTAGGTCTTGGATACCCTGTTTGTGAGGAAAATAATTTGGAGCTCACTAAAGAGAGTTTAGGAGTGCTGGAGAGATGGCTCAGTGGTTAAGAGCACCGACTGCACACGGCGGCTCACAACCATCTGTAATGAGATCTGATGCCCTCTTTTGGCATGTCTGAAGACAGCGACAGTGTATTCATATACATAAAGTAAATAAATAAGTCTTAAAAAAAGGAGTTCAGGGGAGCATGAATTTTGAGTTTCATGCTAAATGGTTGCCCTAGCTTCTGGCTCCAGCATCACGGTTAGTAAATGTTTGTTGAATCAAAACAGAGACTAGTGAGCAGAGCCATCGTAGGCGCATGTGTGTCTAAGCCCTCTCACAGATTACCTTGTTGAAACCTCACATTGACAGTGTGGAAACTACACTTACTCCCCTTCACAGAGAGGAGACTGAGGGCCAGGAGTGCAGGCTCCGGCCCACAGCTGGGCAGGGTGAAGATGGCAACTGTGGTCTTGTCCTGTTCTTACAGGTCTCACGTCTGCTCTAGGAAGCAGATCGATGCACTGCAGCCATGTACCCCTGTGAAACAACTCTTTCCCCACCACAGGAGCAGGAGACATGGCGTCTGTGGGACATGTCGTGATCTGGATTTCCTGCGAGGGGACCTGTTATACTCTACTATGCTGTGTAAACCAGGCCTCATCCTTCAGGAATGAAACAAGTGTCAGGAAGGGCCGTGGATCTCAGCCTAGAGATGCCCGATGAGGTCCTGGGCGGGGGCTGGTCCTGGCCAGTGTTTGATGTGGCTGTGGTATGTAGGGGAGCTGCTGATAGTAAGGTCTGTTTCCCTAATTGGTTCTTGATTTGGTCAATAAAGGAGGCCAAGAGTCAATTGTTGGACAGAAGGGACAGGCTGCAAGTTGGGATGGGAACTGATCCTTGGGCCCTTTGTATAAACAGTGACTCTGCATATCCCCCCCCATGCCTTCTGCTCTCAGCTGGCTCTGGGGGCCTAAAGAGCTCTCTGACCAATGGGCTATGGACGGATGTTTTGACCTTCCTCCCAGAATGTCTGTCTCCATTGTTAAAAAGCCCTTTATCATTGGAATTGGCTGAACACATAGGAGGAAAAGTCCAGCTCTCCATCACCAGCATTCTGCAGTATGCGACACATAGTAGGCCTCTTATGCATTCTTTACTGAGTGGATGAGGCTGATGGATCTGAATGAGTTTCTTTTCTCTATAAGATGACCGACAGGGGTATGTGAATATGCAGCTGATGAAGGTTGTAAACCTTTAGGTATGTCAGAGGGGGTCAGGGAAATGTGACTTATTACTGTCTCTACAAGGGATGGATTAAGAACCGAAACACAGCTGGAAGGCTCTTAACACCTCTGCCATACACTGGGTGCTAAGCTAATCTGGGTCACCATCTCCACCATCACTATCATTTTTATTGTTAGTATGTACATTTCCAAGTCAGAAGGGTCCCACAGTTTGAAACTGTCTTAAAACTAGCTGGGGTGTTCGGTCGCCTGGGGCTGGTGTCTGCAGGTCTCTCATGGCTCTCTTGGAATGTTGGACTCTTGTCTTCTGAGTCAGGAGTCAGGTTTCTGTTCTGGGCTTAGAATGGCTTGGGACCTGGGTCTGGAGTGTAGACATTGTGTGCGGCCATTCCACTGAAGTCACTGTTCAGTTGAGTGGGAGACAGCCTCTCGCTACCACCCTACAGCAGACAGCAATATGCCCCCAAGTTCAAGAGTGTGGGTAACCATCAGGCTGGCAGTTCCTGATTGAGTGACACCCTCTAGTGGCTGTATATGGGAACACCAGGCAGCTCATGGGGAAGGATCGGGTGGAGACTGGAGGAGTGAGTCAGAAGACCTGGTACAGCCCTGCAGAAATGATGTAGGAGGGCCAAATGTCACTGTTACTAGAACATCATTGAGGTGCCAACCTCCCTGGCCTTCTCCATGACTCCAGCCAGCTGTAGAGCATTTCTGAATGTCCCCAGCATAGCCTGGTGACACACCCAACGGCATGGGTCTTCCCTTACCAGGAAGGTGGGAGAGATGGACCATACCTTTACACTTGAAACCATTAAAATTTAAAAAAAAAAATATCCAGAGCCCTTGGTTAGGAAGAGAGTATCAGGTATCAGGTCCCCCACCTTAAAAGGGAAAAAACATGGCCAGATAATTGCAGGCCCAAGACCCTCCACTCTTGTTCTGTAACAACTATGGAATTTAGGCCTCCAGTGTCCTAGGGTTTGAATCTTAGCAGGAAACTCCAGGCAGGACATATCTCTATTCCCCCATCTGTCCAGACTCAGGCCTTTGATCTGTGCAGTCAGAGCTGGAGCTGTGGCCCTCAATCCGGATCCTGAAACTCTAGGTGCCCTTCCCCCCAACCTATCCTAGAGTAAGTTCTTCTATCTCATTCATTCTCAGCTTGTTCATAATGTGTAGGTCTGGGTGGGACCCTGAAATCTGAAGCTGTGAAAATTCTCTTAAAGCCCAGCACGTGGCAGAACCTTCTGGACGCAGGCAATGGAAGTCCAGAACTGGCATAAGGCTTGGCCCAGACTCCCAGGTAACTGCTCACAGGCTGGGCTTACATCAGCTCACCAGCAGCCCACAGTCACATGACTCCGTGTGACTGTGCTCTTTCTGGAGGCTCCTGGCTTCCAAAAAGCCATATAGATCACAAGATGGGGCCTGGCTGTATCTAATTCAGGAGTCTGAGAGTTTTTGGTTTTGCATCTGGCTGAAGCTCAAGCAAATTCATTCTCTCTCTCTCTCTCTCTCTCTCTCTCTCTCTCTCTCTCTCTCTGTATGTGTGTGCGCACATGTATGTGTATGTGCCTGTTATGTACCAGTGTAGAGGCCAGAGGATAACCTCAGGTGTTGCCCAGTGCTGGCCAACTTTCTTTTGAAACAAGGCTCTTTACTGGCTCTTGCCTCTTGGGATAGGCTGACTGGCCAACAAGGCACAGGCATCTATGCGTCTCTGCCTCCCCAGTGCTGTGACACAAAGGCACGCCACTATGTCTGGCTTTTTCATGTGGGTGCTAGGTCAAACTCAGGTCCTATGCTTGCAAAGCAAGCGCCTTAATGACGGAGCTCCCGAGAGCATCCTTCTTAGGAGGAACTGGTCAGCACTGCAGCAGATGCCCCATCTGTCCCCAGTCAGTCCCCATGAACCTTGGCCCCTCTCGGCTAGAACTCTCTGGTGAAAGCTGCCCCAGGAAGTTTAGAGTCCACTACTGTGCACCTCTGGCGTGGTGATTCCTAACACTGTCTCATGTCCAAACAGTCCTCACAAGTTTCTTTCTTTTTATCTTTCATTAAAAAGTAGCTGGGAGTCTCAAAACAACAAGAAAGCATTTAGAGGTGTGAATTTCTGCAGGCAAACAGGAGGATCCAGCTGTTCTCAGTGGGGCACCAGGGAGGAGCACAGCTACGGGGTCCGCAGTGGTGCTGCGGAGCCCCACCTGCCAACTGTAGGGTGACCGTGAAGGTCACAGTCTGAGAGTGACATTACACCACATGGAGCTTCTCTCTTGCCCACACTACATCCCTCTCCAGTTGTCTTTGGGACCTAATGTCTGGACTCCTCTCAGCAACAATGGCAGCTCCTAGGTCAATGGCAGGGGTGAGGACAGACTTGCCATTTGTTCTACCTGAAGGCTCCTCCCAGTATCCTTCCTACTTGGAGTTGGGTTATCATAGTGAAAGGGTATCCATGTGGGAAGTGGGCAGGTAAGTGGGAGGCCATCCCAACTGCTAATCCAGCGATTTTCTCTACTTCCCCAAACACAGTGGAGCTTCTTCACAGATGTGATGTGCAGACCGAAGGCAGAGTGCCCATCACTTCCTTAGACTTAGTTAGTCTCTATGGGCAGTGAACGGAGTGGGTGGGGCATCTCTAAGCTCCATCTAGCTTCAATAGTCTTTGGCATTGTTGAATAACAGGAATCACAGTCCCACATGATCCTGAACATGGGTCTCCTTGGGAGGCTGGTCAGCTGCAGTAAGGTCACGGGCACTATGAAAGGGAGACCAGAGTGGGGTAGGAGGTGAGGGTGGAGAGGTGGCAGGATGACCAGAGGGTGTGTTGCAGGCACTTCCAAGGGGATGTGCTGGGGGGCCTGGGGCCACTGTCTAACCAAAGGACCCCTAGCAGCTCCTATACCACCATCCTGGATAAGGGGCTCAGGCTGGGCCTTGAGAGGTCCCAGAGCCTATCCCTGGTGGCCTTATCACAGAGGCAATGGCTAAGTGCTATAGAATCGGCCTTGAGGGACTAGCCAGGTGAACAGTTCATAACTCTGGCTGCAGGGTCTCTCTGGCTAGAAGCAGAACTCTCAGGGCTTGTCAAGTTGCACCCAAACCTACTCCTCCTAAATTGTAACTTTGCAAAGATGGAGTCAGGACAGAGTCACAGAAAGATCTAGAAAAGATGTTTGCTTTGAGGTGCAGAGAGCCACATGGAGAACACAAGCTCAGTCTGTCTCTTATGTCTGTCTCTGTATGGGGGGTGGACAGTGAAGAGCAGAAAGGAAAACAGAAGGAAATGAAGGAAAGGTACACGGAGAGAAGGAAAGTTCCAAAGAAGAAACAAGGATGTGAAGAAGGAGGTGAGGGCAAGAGGAAAAGGGAGACAGATAAAATCTAACGGAAAGACTGGACAGACGGGAAAGGTAGAGCGAGTGAAGGATGTGGAGAAAGAACAGGGCAGGGGAGGAGAGAGGAGTCCGCAGCGGAAGTGCAGCAAGCCAAAGGCAGAGGCCGGAGCTGGGGATGGTCACTGTGAGCCATGCTGGGGCGGCCTGCGATCCAGCTTCCTGTCCTTGCGCTGGCGCCGATCCTTCCTGTTCCTCTGCCTGGGATTTCTTTCTGTAAGAGAACACAGGTCCCGGCCAGGGAGATCCTGAGAGATGAGGAAGTCCCAAGTAGTCCCAACAGGCCCCAGAGCTGGAGTGCTGGGCTCAGAGTCACCCTGTTTTAAATTTGGGCCTGTAGATGAAATTGTTCTAGAAGATTCCTCCTTGGTGATTCCTAGGGGGCTGGGAGGACACTGACCTGAGGGAATGGCTGAAATTGAGTGGAGCTGGGAAACAGCCTGCAAGGACTGAAGGACTACTTGGGTAAGCGCCTGTCAGGACTTAGGATGGCCTCATGGGCATCCGCATGCCCCTACCCTCCACCCTGTCATGTACTATCTTACTGTTAATAAGGCTTCCTGCTGGAGACTGACCTTTTTCTGCTCAAGCCCCTGCCCCAGCCCCCAGCCCCATAGCCAGAGACCCTGAGGTTTAGCTGCTTTGTGTAGGCAGGATGACCTGTGGACCTTTTTGCTCCACACAGTAGGAGCAAAAGCTACAATTTCTATCCCATTTGACAGGCGGGGAGAGAGGCTGGCCACAGCTAGGGGGCGGGGCATAGTGCAGAGGGCTGGCCGCAAATTCCAGACCCTGGTCTCATCAAGACCTCAGTGTGTCCCATAAGCCCTGGAGGAGTCCAGTGTGAACACCTGATTCGTCTTTCTCAGAGAAGACTGGCCAGATGATTGACTTGCTCAGGAGCCTGGAGTTCCTGGAGCCAGTTCTGATTTCCCTTTAGACAAGTTCATCTGGGTAACCAGCAGCCAGATTGGCAGAGCATGTGGACGAAATCCCAGCATGCTGTCTTTAGGAGAGCTGAATGTCCCCTGGCAGGGTCCTCTGCTAGCCTCCCTCAGCAGCTCTTCTTTGCTCATGGGCGTAGCCTAGGCTGTGCTTCCCTATAGGGATCCACACTGCCAGCCTCTGCAGGGATCTACCTGTTCCTCGTGGCACTCCTCTTCCCAGCTGGTAGCTGCTATTACTGATTGACAGGAGGAAAGATTGAGGTGTGTCTTGGAGCCAGAACAACCCTAAACTTCTGGTTTATAAGGTGCCTCCTCACCCAAGCCATTTCACACGCTCTTTGTCTCGAGGAAGACTCCTGGGGAGTCGTGTGTCCTTGGAACTGATAGCACCACTCGGGGCACTGCTTTCCGAGGATACACACAGAGAAGGCATGCTATCTCTCCAAGGATGACTGCTTTTGTAAGGAGCCAGGGTCTCAGCATTTCCCTTTGCAGGGCAGACTCAGTGGTACCCCATAGACTAGGCTGTTCACTTTTGGGGCTCCTCACCAAATCTAAATCCTTGGAGGCACTGTACAGGACTGGAGAGCATTGCCTAAGGGGTCAGCTTTGAGGGCTGGGATTAGGAGAGATGAGTAATCTGCGTCTTCAACCTTCTCCTATGCCAGCCTGCTAGCTGCCTATGCACACCTCGTTCACACCACCATGCTCCCTCCTACCCGTGCATCCTTCCCCACCCATATACCCTCCCACCCATCTAGCCATGGACTCCCCAAACTACCTACCTTTCCATCATCTTACCCACTCACTCCTGTACCCTCCAACCATGCATCCACCCATTCACCTAATTTTCTACTTACCCACCCACTCAGCCTCTCACCTCCCACCTACATGCCCACCCACTCATACAACTGCCTACTTATCCACTCATCCCTCCATGCACCTCTTCTCCCTCCACCCAGGCATCTACCCATCCCACAAAGTTAACATCTGGGTCCTGATCCAGCACCAGAGACAGCCTTGCTCGCCTCGGAGACCAGACTCTCCACACACAACTGCAGAAGGAGCAGGGCTTTTTCCTAGAGGTGTCAATGCTATGACATGATGTGACAGGAGGCAGCTCTGAGAGGGGGAGCTCAGGAAAGCTCCAGGTGGACAAGGCTCCTGGGCTGGGGCACAAACAGGAGGAGGTTCTACAGGCATGTGGGGACTCACTCAGCACATGCCACCCACAGCAGTCACCCGAGTCTGCAGCCACAGCTCCTGGTACCGTCATTTGAAAAAGGGCTTTCCTTGAGTTTTGGATGTCTAGTCTCATCTACGCCCCACTCTCTGTCCCAAATGCTCACTGTGTATGTGTGGGTAGTGGCGATGGTGGGAGAGGTTCTTCTTTGCCTACTGATTAACGTTCGGCTTCTAGGCTCACCCAGTCCAGGCTGTGTGACCCTGGGGCATGGGCCTCAAGCTCTGTGGGCTTCCATCTCCTGAAATGGGATAATAGCCACACCTACACCCCAGTCACTGGGCAGATCGAAGCCACCACGTGGCTCACATGGCTAACACTGCTTTTCTGTGCTGACACCATCTCCGTCACACTTCATGATACATGCAGTTGGCCTCTCTTGTGGTTTTTAGCAGTCTTCATTGGAAACCTGTGGTCCTACCCAGGGAAGGGGTCCCTCAGGCAATAGTGGAGTGGTGTAGCCACAGGACCCTGTTCTCCTGTTGCACGGTTGACAGCATCCATTCCTCAGCTGAGATCTCTTTGCACATGCGTGCCTATGGTTTTAGAGTGTTTCTGCTCAGATCTCTATGGCAACCTTGGCTTTCTGCATCCTGGGGGGGTCTGCCTTAACCAACTCCTATATGTTGAGCCAAGGACCCCCATCTCGGCATCTCTTCCCTTTTGTGTTCCAGTAGGTGCTGCACTGCATGACAGCCACGCCCCCAGGCTCTCCTGGGGACTCCACTAGAAACAGCAGGCTATCCGGAAGTCCTTACAGAACAGAGGTCTGGACAATGCAGACCAGTCTTCCTACTATGTCTAGGACCCTTCTCTGGAATTACTAGGCAGGGTAATGCTTAGCTTACAGAAAGAGTTGGCAGTCAGGGGTCTTTGAAGTGGGTTTGCAGATGTCATCTATGGAGGTGTCTCTCTCTCCCTGGACCCAGTTACCTCTGGGTCTTTCCCTGCGGAACCCTGCAGGCCTGATACTCACCTCTTGGGCAGGGCCTCTTTAGAGGACATTTTCTGGACTCAGATAACACTTGACAACTTGCCGTCTCTTCCTGCTTGGCCGGGCCAGCCTCCCGCATCCGGGTCTCTAGGCCCCAGCCTGAGCCACAGGTCTTCCCATTGTATATGCAGGGACTCCAGCTGCCCCAAGGGCTTGGCTCACACTCTTCTGTGGGTGAAGGGAGAGACAGATAGGTGAGTGAGTCAGCAGTGTGTGCCTCTTGGATCAGTGACCAGGGGTCTGAGGGTAGCATCTCTACCTGCAAGGAACTCAGTCTGCTACAAAGAAGCAGAAGTCTTCACAGAGGTGTAACAGAGCTGAGTTAAGCCTCCTTGGATACCAGGATTTGAGAGGCCAAGTGGCTGGAATTCAGAAAGGTTCAGGAATTGGGGACAGACATGAAGTAACTGGCTGCTAAAAGGTCCCCAAGAGCAGGGTTCCAGCTTTGAACTTGGCCACATGCCTTTGATCAAGGGTAGAGGGCCCAAGTCACCTACGTGGTATTGTGAGGAGGGAATGCTCACAGACAGAGAGTTCTCAGAAGAGGGAATTATAGACACATTCCACTCATTTCTGAGTGGGAGGCAACACCCAACCCAGGGGACAGTAATGTCCCAGCTTGCAGTCCTAAGTGCTGAGACCTGCAGCAGTAACAGGTGTACACAGCATGGCTGGGAACAGGTCTCCAGACCTCAGGTAGCTATGCTGTCACCACCCAAGAATTTCACCTGACCAGTCAAGACTGAATACCTACTGTGAGAGCCAAGTTGTGGGTACAGAAGGGCAGGTGCATATAAGAGACCTCTGCTTGCTCCCAGAACACACCATGTTGAGACACTGCACCAGGAAGGCAGGGTGCTTTGTGTAATTCTGGAGGGCACAGAAGTATAGGGAACCCAGAGGTATGAGCCACACCCTTGGGTCCAGGAAGACTTCTTGGAGGAGACTGTGTTTCTGGGTCCCAGTGGGATGGGAAAGAGAGGTAGGAGGTGCTTCATGTGGATGGAGTCTCCCACAAAGCCCCCAGGATGCTGAAGATGGATGGAAAGGCCACAGATGGGGACCTGCTTGCCCAGGCTCTGCCAGTGGCCAACAGGAGCCACAGGAGGCCCTTGAGCAGCAGAGGCATATTTTGGTCACAGGTGGGCACACAGGCTCAGAGACAGACCCAGGAGGCCACACAGAAGATGTAGAGAGCGATTGATGGGGTGGGTCCAGGAACTTTATGATGCTTCAGAATTCCTCTCAGAGATTCTGTACCTCACATGCTAGAGACCAACTGCACGCCCCTTCTGTCTCCCACTGATGTGTAAGGACAGAGTCTTAGCCACCTCCAGGGATCCACCTGTCTCTCACATTGCGGGCAGGTGTCACAGAGAGTGCTCACTGTGCCTGGCTTTTATATGGGCACCGGGGAGCTCAACCCGCACAGCAAGACCTTTCTTCACAGAGCCACTTCCCTGGCCCCAGGCAGTTACTTTTTAAAAAAAATCTTCAGATCAAGTGACTTTCTTGAGATGGCTACAGGTAACTCTGTTCCTCGGTGCCTTGTTGGTGAGAACACCCTTGGTGACAAAAGCAGTGTCAGAGTTGGTGGCACAGTATCCACGATCCTGGTGGTTACAGTGGCACCATAGCCCTGAAGATTCTCTGAGTACCAACGTGTGGCTGGGCTGCCCATTCACCATAACATTTCATCGATTGTTTTCAGGTCTCCTGCCTTTCCCCCAACACTAGGACGGGTGGCCAGGGACTCACTCACCCTGGCACTCTCGGGTACTCTGGTGGGTCATGGTGCCTGGCGGACAGGTGGGCAGGCACTTCCCTTTGTATAGGTGAAACCGCCTTTTGCAGCGGATACAGAAGTCCTGGCTGAAACAGCTCTCGCATGTGGCCCCACATTCTGCAACAGAGCCAGGGACACCATAAGTGAGCTGCCTGTGATGGGGCCCCATAGCTCTGCCTGAGGTGGGAAGGTCTCTGTGCAACCCCATGCTCTGGAACACTGGGGTCAGGATACAGTAACATAGCAGCAGCCCAGACTTGGCCGTTGATGAACTGGGCTACACCTGAGAAAGCCTTCCTTTCTCATCTAACCTGAGGTTGAGCATGGGAAGTGATACACTAAACATCACATAGCAAATCTGGGCCGGGAGTGAGGCTTCTTCACCCTTTACACACAAGACTCAGAGATTAATTTGTCCTAGGTCACACTGAAAATGGAGGAAAGGTTAGGAGGACTACTTTTCCTACTTGAGCGAGACCCAGAGGAGGTGAGGAACCTGCTTGAGTTCATACAGAACCCAGGTCAAAGTAAAGGTTCCCTGACCTGTTTGTGCTGAGACTGATGGTGTCCTCTTAGAGGTTGACAGAATCAGAGAGGAGTCTACCTGGCCTAGGACTTCAGGGACAGCTAGAACCAGCAAGCTCGGGGTCGGTCATGGTTCTGCTTCCTCTCAGGGTATGTTTGGGGAGAGGGTGGGATACAGGACAACTCTACCCAAGCCTGCCTGCGACACTGGAGGAGATACGTACTCTTGCATCTGTTGACCTCCTGGCCACGGATTCCAAAGAAGCCAAGGGGACAATCATGCACACACTTGCCGTACTGACGGATACCTTCCCGGCGGATGAAGAGGAAAAGCCTCTGCTGGCAGGTGGAACAGCCATTCTCCTGCGAGCATATGACACAGCCTGTGCAGTTGCCCTCCAGACCAGTGCCTGCTGCAGCTAGACCAGGAGAGAGAGAGAGAGAGAGAGAGAGAGAGAGAGAGAGAGAGAGAGAGAGAGTCAAATC